CTTGGAGAAAATGGTTGTGTGTCATTAGCGATGCGAGTATCGGGGTGATTCCGGGACAGATGGAGATATTAAGAGATGTTGGATTAATGGAGAAAATTCGAGGATCTAAGATGTATGTTATATTTTCAATTTGCATTAATGTTTTGGAAAATTAGAATGAAATAAAAAATTGGAATAATCGTCATCGTGATGCAATCAATAATATGAGAAAAATTGTAATACTTTTTTTGAAAAATTAATGTTAATATATATATATATATTTTGGGTCCATGTAGGATGTGGAAATGGGTCTCTATGGAGAAACAATATACGTATTTTTATTTTATTTTATAATTTTTCCGCTCCAATTAATCAAACGATTTTCATACTTTATCAACTTTCGCGTATCCACAATCGCTACATTTTATCCAATCATCCATTTCCTTTATTGTATTATAATCTTCTCTATTTCCGACACACTTTCCTCCCACCGCAGATTTATTGCTGTTACTTTCTTCGTAACAGATCAATTCATTCGGAAATAGTAGCTCAATTAATTCTTTCTCCGATCATCCCATATTTTCAACGATATTAGATATCTCGGTCTGGAAATTAATTAATACGCAAAACATTAAACTTTAAATCGATACATTATGCATATAAAACGTATTGCCTATTTTTACACGAAAATAACATGACAGAAATTTTGAAATTACATAGAATAATTAATATACGTGTAACTCTATTAAATTTTCAAAAGTTACCTATTACTTATAGAATCAAAGAAGTTTTCCTCAAAGATGCGTCTATAAATCATGAATTCGAAAGTGTCTAAGATTCCAGAAAGAATTTGTTCCAGAAAGAAAGAAAGAAAACGAAATTTCGCATGGAAATTCAAGCGGTGTTCGATCGTTCTTCGAGATTTTCGAATCGGGCAGAGTTGTAAAATCTCGATTAAAAGATAGCCAAGGGGTCCGGTTATTGTAAAGGCGGTAATCGCGCGATCGCTTCTCTTTCCGATCGCGTTCGACAGCTGATTTCGCCGGTACACACACCTGGCCCCGTCGTCGTGATTTCAACCAGCCGTGCTCGAATTGGATCGCAGCCAAGGTTGCACCGCGAGCCTTTTGCGCGAAAAGAAGCGGCAAATGGAAAGCTCGTCGAGCCGGCTACAATTTCGCTCCAGCTGACCG